TGGGGAACCCCCGCCCCCGGTTCTGGGGGAACTTCTTTTTTTTTTTTTTTTTTTTTTTTTTTTTCCTGGTGTATCACTTCTGCAAAAAGTGCAACTGAAATTGCTGTTTTTATAAGCAGCAGCTCTCACATGAGATATGTCATGGCACTGCCAGGGCTCAGTTGCTCTGGCGTGGCTTGGTCCCATTGCGGCTGAGCAGTTGTGTATCTGTGTCTCGTGAGCTAATCAGGATCATCAGAAAGTAAAGTTTAAAACAACTCAATTTCCGGTTATATAGAAGACAACTTTTAGAAAACAACTTACAGAAAACAACTTTTTTTTATCCTAAATGTACAAATGGATGTTCATGCACAAAATGTGACTGCTGCACTGCAACCTCATCACTCCATTACCAAGCTGCTACTCAGACATTTAAAAAAATCACTTGTCTTGCAGTTTCTTCAGCTGTGTAAGGTAGGCAGGTAAACAAAACCAGTCATGTCAATGTCTTGTATGCGAGGGCATGTAATTGTATGCGAGGGCATGTAACCATCTCATCAGAATAACTTCACGGAAAGTGGTGATATTGTCAGTATGTACAGCAAGAATAATCCAAAGCATGGCTTGAATAAGCTGTTTTTCTGATTATGACCAAAATTATAAGTACAAATAATACAGCACAACTCAGAGCACGGGCACCTGCATAAGTTCAGACTGTTAGTGCTGCTGCAGAAGCTGATTTCTGTCTTCTTTCTGTTTCTCTTATTCTTGGCCTCCCTCCATTTTGGCACACAATTCCTCCTGAGTGGCTCTGGTTTTTGATCGTGTTAAGTGTCTGGGAAGCATTACGAGTTTAACACTCCAGACAGGCAGTCATTTACTTCGGATTTGGCACTTTCTCTCCTCAAGTTGGCCCACGATGCTGGAGAACAGCTCACCCGCTGCGCGACAGCCCCAACACGCAAGGCACATGGGGCCAGCGTCGGTGCTCAGCCCCGCACCTCCATCCAGCTCCAAACTGCGGTGCTGTCTGGACTCTCGCACATTGGCTCCCTATTTTCTATACACACAAAAAAGCAGTGACTAGACTGTCTTGTTTTAGGGCTGAGCTACATATATGTGAAATAGGGTTTGCTCTTTCCCCTTAGCTTTAGCGTTTCTGTTGCTCTTTCTTCTTCTTGCCCCTCCTATTTCAGTTACCCCCTCCCTCCTTTCCTGTTCTGTCTCCCTTTGTCCCTATTACTAGGAGGCACAACCTGGAGAGTAGGGAATATTTTACTTCATACGCTAGCTAGAGCTCAAGCACTTTTTTTTTTCTTTTTAACCCTGATTTTTTTTTTTAATTAATAATTATCATTTTCCCTTTTGTTGTAGAGGGAAGGGTTCCCACTTTCTGTGGAAGCCACCCTGCTTTAGGTTTCTTTATGAATTAGTTTTGTTTTGGAGAACAATGAAGGCCCGGACTGCATAATTCAGCGTGAATGCTGCTATTGTATCATCTTGTCCCTTGTTCCTTGGGAAAACTCACAGAGATGCATGTTGTACTGACTCACTTTTCCATCTGCCTGCATACATTTTGGAAAACAGAGGAAAAGCAGCCTGGGGCCATTCCCTAGATAAAGCCAACACAGTGGCTACATAGATGTTTATGATAAGCAAAACCTGCTTGATCCTCAGCTACTCAATGACTTCGGTGTTTGCACAGTAGAGGCACTGGGCAATTTCTTAATCTCTAACCACACAGGTATTGATGTTACTTCTGAGGGAAACCAGAAACCCGTGGAAGAAACACGATAGGGCACTGATTGCCTCTGGTTGTATCTGCCTAACGGTAGCTCGAGCTATTGACTAACGGGGCCACCGCTATATTTAGAGGTGCGATGCGAATGTGATCCCCGAGCCGTGAACCACATGACGCCGTCCCGCTGCTCAAGTGCAAGACACAGTCTTGATGACAAAACCCCATGGAGTGCAGCGGGAAAGAGGAAATCCAGCTCCGCTGGAGCCACCAGGCCTGTGCAAACACAAAATGTATTTTTTTTCTGAGAGTTTTCCAAAGCCCAAACTCTCATGGTTTAAGTTGTGAGTCACTAGAGGTGCTCTAAAGGTGAAGAATGTGGGAAAAAAGCAGTAGTTTTGCCAGATGTGGAGCCAGGGGGGGCACCGGGAGCCACAGGGATGC